AAGTGAAATAAGCCAGTGAGAGAAAGACAAGTGTCACATGATCTCACTCATATGTGGAATCCAAATAACAAAACAAACTGATGAACGGAGTGGATCCAGAGACATGGAAGCATGGAACAGAGTGCAGAATCTCAGAGGGAAGGCAGTGGAGCATGGGTGGGTGGGAGATAATCAACCAAAGACCTTGTATGCATATATGCATGGCCCATGGAAACAGACAATAGGGTGCTGAAAGCCTGGGGCGGGGATAGGGGGTGGCGGGGCGGGCTGGAGGGGGGGTCAATGAGAGGAAAAAGGGGACATATATAAAAATTTCAACAATAAAGAATTATTAAAAATAATAGTAATAATAAAATGGCCCTAGCTGGTTTGGCTCAGTGGATAGAGCGTTGGCCTGCAGACTGAAGGGTCCCGGGTTCGATTCCAGTCAGGGTCACATGCCTGGGTTATGGGCTTGATCCCCAGTAGGGGGTGTGCAGGAGGCAGCCGATCAATGATTCTCTCTCATCATTGATGTTTCTCTCTCTCTCCCTCTCCCTTCCTCTCTCAAATCAATAAAAAAATATAAATAATAATAATAAAATGTATACTATAAACCATAAAACAACTATTCAAGTAATACAATGGAGTTATAGCAAGTAGGCCAACTAAATAGGTAAGAATGCAGATAAAGGGTAAAAAGGGGGAACAAAGAAGAGACAGGTCAAATAGAAAATAAATAGCAATATGGTCAATTAAAAAATAATCATAACGCCCAGTCTGTGGCTCAGTGGTTGACCCTTGACCCCATGCACCACGCGAGGTTGCTGGTTTAATTCCTGGTCAGGGCATATGCCTGGGTTGTGGGCTCCATCTCCCAGAGGGACATGCAAGAGGCAGCCAATACTATGTATATTCTCAGCCAGGTTAGCACTCTTGATTCTTGGTACAAATTAGTCCCTCACTATAGTTCACAGTCTAGTTTTAATTGTTAACATTCTAAAACTGTATCTTAAGGCTTCTTCCAGCAAAATGATCCTAACTGGAATTATTTTCATATGAAAATTATTTTATAACAAACTAAAAGTTAAGGTATTTGGTTGTGTGTCAACAGATGGCTAAGTTATTTGGATAATGTGTGGCCCTGATGTTTTCTTGGGTGCGACTGTGAGCCCTAAAACTAGGACAGTGTCAGAACATGACAAGGTACCGGGAATGAGGGCGTGTAGCGTGAGCCATGGTTACTTTCCAAACTCTTAGACATTTGACTCAGAATACTGCCTCTTTATTAAAAATCCTAACTAGATATACAAACTGACTGTTCAGACATGAGGACATTAGTAATCTATCAGAAGTTCATCAGTACCCTTGCTGGTATGGCTTAGTGGATAGAGCGTCAGCCTGCGGGCTGAGGGGTCCCAGGTTAGATTCTGGTCCCAGGTTAGATTCATGCCTGGGTTGCGGGCTCGATCCCCAGGAGGGGGCAGGCAGGAGGCAACCAATCACTGATTCCCTCTCATCATTGATGTTTCTATCTCTCTCTCCCTCTCCCTTCTTCTCTGAAATCAATAAATTTTTTTTAAAAGTTCATCAGTACTGCTCATTTATTATTTTCTACAAAATAACTGACCATGACTAAGTCATATACACATTTTTTTGTTGAGAAATTTTCAATATGAGGTTTGAAAGTATTTCTATATCAAAGTCATAATTAGGGGTATATGATAATTTATACTTCTATTTCACACTGAGAACTGGAGAGGGAAAGAAGGCCCAGTGTAAAAATTAGGAGTGTACTTACAAAACCCCAAAAGAAAACCTCTCCAAAAAGGACAGAAATGAAACAGGATTCTTTCATCAAAGAACAAAAGCGAATAATGCACTTGCTCTCCTGTATGAGACCCCGATGAGAAATATGGGCACAGGACACAAATAACAGGCTGGTTCAAAAGGGTACGAGTTTTTGTGTTCATACCACAAGCATATTTTTTAAATCTGCATTTGGAACCTGCATCACTAACAAGTCACAGAAAGAACCTCAGAATGAAGAAAATAATTTTAAAATAGAAATTAGTAGAAGTACTACAAGGTCTTTTGGTAACAGTTGAGAAAAATTTTCTGGTTCAAGGAGATTTTAAATAAAGAATGCAAAAATTGTCAATCCTTCTGTTGTTTCTTGATTGAGCATAATAAAAAACATGTCAGCCCGGCTGGTGCAGCTCAGTGGTTGAGCATCAACCCATGAATTAGGAGGTCATGGTTAGATTCCCATTCAGGGCACATGGCGGGGTTGCGGGCTCGATCCCCAGTAGGAGGCAGCGGATCAAGGATTCTCACTCATCATTGATATTTCTCTCTCTCTTTCCCTTCCTCTCTGAAATCAATTAAAAAAATATTTTTTTAAAAAAAGAACATGTCAGCAACCAGACAAAATCTGTTCTTACAAAATGCTCTGCTACCTTTAAAATATTTTATTATAGAAAACTCCAGCATCCATAGGTCATTTACTAGGCCTGATCATGTTCTAATTTCACCTGTCAACCATCTCCTCTAATCACCTTGAGAGCCCTTTGTTTACTGAATATTTGGACACCAAATCCCCCAGATGTTGCATTCTTCAAAACTGAAGTCTGACCATGCAGCCAGCCAGTCTGGTCACCAACTCCAGGAGTGTCATTACTCGCTCGCAAAGGGTTTAAAGAGTTCGAATAAACAATGTTAAGCACAGATGTCTTGTGTTTCCTATAAGTGACAAAACGATCATCTATATTAATTATATTTGACTGAAAATAAAAGGTCAAAATTTTTTTCACAGACCTTGTGGCAACTGATATGCTTATAAAATCTACTTAGTGGTCATTTTTAAATTAGCATAATTAGCACTAATTTTTCAATTAGTGCAGTTTTCCATATTCAAATATAAGAAGCTATTCCAAAGGAATTTCTTAATAAAAGTGTCATGTCACACCAGACATGTAAGTCTAAAGCTACAGTTTATGCCTACCACGCAGCAACAGTAGCAGTTGGCAAATTTAAAAGAAAAAACCTCCCAGAACATCAAATTAATTTTTTATACAGGTTTCAATATATTTTCAATTTATAATTGAATTTATAATCATCACTTAAAACTATTAAACTAAGAGAAGAGCTGCATGTAATGGAGGTGATGAGGCTCCTTGTTGCTTCGTGTCTCATTTAACTGAGTGGGGGGCTGCTGCGGGCTGAGTTCCTGGGGTCAGGCTCTCCCTGTGGGAGGCATGAGACAGAGAGGAGACGCCACAGCCTGGAATCCGTGCTTAAGCACACCCTCTATTCTGGTCTGATAAGCTTTTCAGCCAGTAAATCAAAGTCCCGTTATACTGTAGGATAATAGTCATGACAATTCCCTATATTTTATCTTCTTAAAATCAAAGACTCACTTCTAAAGAGTTAACCGAGGAATTACAAAGTAACTCCCAAGTTTGCATTTCCCATAATACTAAATAAAGCTTATTCTTTTTGTCTAGAAATTTGCTTTTTTAACGCTGTGAAAAGCCTCTGTGACTCTGTTCAGTGCACTTACTCCTTTTCATCTATTCAGTGCCACTGGCATAACAGGTAGTGCGTGCGTGCTGTGCCGGGCGGAGCACGTGACCACTGCGCCCTAATGCACGCCATTAATCCTGTTTGGACAGCTGGGTCCGGGCATTTGTTAGCTGCCTTTTAATTGTTCCATCTTTCCTTTTCTCCTTTTTATTTATCTCTATGGCAAACTACTCAGGAATTTAATGTGTTGATCTTTAAAAAAGCAAATTTTGCCATTCATTTTCTTTGTATTAAAACTATACTCAGCATGTAATTTTCTTCTGTAAACAAGTATATACTAGTACTGCTATGAACAATTTTAAATAACAGAGCACAGTAGGTTTCATAAGTGACCAAATGGTAGGGTAGCTGTAATAACACAGAAATTATTTGTTGGACTGTCATGATACATATGACATTTAGCTACAAATCAAGTAACGAAAGTGCAGATTTTTGGCATTTTCAAGATTAGCACACCATAAGCGGATGTCAAAACAACAACAAGCCCTGTAAGCAAACACAAAAGAGTGAGGAGTGAGCGAGCTCTGTCGGTTTGTGGAGAGCGGTCCCTCTCTACTCATCGGAGATTTCACTCTTTATTAAAAGATGAAATTCCTGTGAGAATTAGAGACGAGGATAACGCCTGCTTTTTGGCACCACCCGCATCCCTGATGGGTGGGTCTTGAATAAATGATGATGCGATATACCAGGTGAAACAAAAGCAGCTCGGACTTGTCATTTTCGTTGTGAGCAAGTTGCTGAGGTTGAATGGTGGGATTTTTCCTAATCGTTGGTGAACCCTCTCAGGTCAAACCCTAAGTCTGGAAAACGGAGCTCCTACTGAACACGCGGAGTAACAGTGAGCCCAGCCCTGAGCATCCCGAGCCCACAGGGCTTTACAGGCGGGGAGGGGCCACAGGAAGCTCCCCAGCCACTAGAACAATGTGGGACGCTTTCCTTTTAGAGAATCAAATACTGTAAACAGGATGACAGGCACGCGAGATCCTTAAACTAAAGGCTGCCCGTTAAGTCCCCGTGGTTCTCCGAGACCTCGCTGCCTTTACGCCCACTTCATGACACAGCAGCTTAAAATCAGTCTGACAGATTTTCAATTTTTTAAAATACAATTATGTTTTAAAACATTTCATATTAAGAAAAATTAGTTTAATATTTTCTAAACATTAAACATTTTTAAAAGTAAAAATCAGTTTCCTCACTAGAGACTCAAAAGCTTAACTAGTCAGTGAACAAAAAAGTCCACTGTTTTGAGAAGACATATTATTAGGATTTAAAAAAATAAGTGGCCTTCGTTTGATAAAAGCGCTCTCTGGTGTAGCCCTAAATCATGAAGTGCAGGAGTAAAGGCGTGAAGTAGGGTAGTGGTGTATCTCGAAGGATGATCTTTAGAAACTGGAGTGAAGGAGTGGAGTGGAGTGGAACATCCCACTTGGACTCACCCAGGGTTCTGGACATCACAGGCAGAGCGGAGCTCAGGACCAGCAGCGACACGCAGTTCCCAATGATCTGCCAGGAGATACAAGAGCAGCAGGCGGTCACGCAACGGGATGATAAATGGAACCCATCCCCTCTGGGAAGCTGTTCACTCCAGGTGCCTACTGCACCTTGCTAACTTCTTAATCACACTCTTCACAATAGAATTTAAAAATAAGAAGAAACTGCCTATAGACATTTAATGTCCTATCTGTATGTTCTAGAAAATATTGGTAGTGCCTGGCACAAATATAAAGCTACAGAACACTTAAGTTACTTTACACCTCAGACAATGCATTTTACATCATTGATTGATGTTGCCAATTTCAAAACAGCTTGCTTGTCAAGTGAAAAAGAATTAATGCCTAGCCCGGCCAGCCAGGCTCAGTGGTTGAGCATCAACCTATGAACCAGGAGGTCATGGTTCGATTCCTGGTCAGGGCACATACTCTGATTGCAGGCTCGATTCCCAGTGTGGGGTGTGCAGGGGCCAGGGATCAATGATTCTGTCTCACCATTGATGTCTCTCTCTCTCTCCCTCTCCCTTCCTCTCTGAAATCAAGAAAAATATATTTCTTTAAATAATTAATGCATTTAATATCTAACTCTGTTTTTAAAGCCAACTACTGCTCACAATTTATATAAGATCTACTTCTAACATGTTGATGTTGTAAGATTTTAATATCAAAAAGCTCAAAATCCAAAACACATACATTCTAGTCATTCATTTTCAATGTACCCTATGCTTATCTATAATAATAAAAGCATAATATGCTAATTAGACCAGACATCCTTCCAGACAACCTTCCAGACAAAGCCAGGGCTGCGAGGGAAGCCCAGGTCCCGGGTGCCAGAGGGAAGCCGGTGCCAGCAGCTGGGGGAAGGAAGGCCTACTCTTGCACGAATTTCGAGCATCGGGCCTCTAGTTCTTTCATAATAAATAAGAGCTGGAAATGCTGATCAGACCTGTGATCACTTAAGCTAGACGCTCAGAGTTTCAAAAACTCACAGTGTGTTAGGTACATCGATAGATGAATAGGAAATAAGTTCCCTCTTAAAATAGGATAACAATATGGAATATTTAATAACATAAAAGAAGCCCGCAGCTCCTGTAGTTGCCCCTCATTTCAGCCGGTGGGAACATTTTACAGAGCAGCAGCCATTGTGCCACAGCCTGTGCTATTCCCGTAGCCAAGGACATATTGTAGGAAGTCAAATCAGCCTCAGATTGCAAAATGTTTCTGAATAGGCCTCTTCCGTCTTGCTTTAATTATTCAAATTTGAAACACTTTGTCTCCACTACTTGTAGCAACAGAGGTTCTTCAGATCTCAAAGGAGCTCCCTGAAGTGCAGTCAGCACAGCCCAAGTGACTCATTAGCGGAGCATTTTCTTTGGAGGAAAAGCGTCTTTTCAGAGCCTCCGTGCCAGCTAACAAGCTAGGCTCCTCCGCATTTACAAGTGAATGGACGTCGTCCAAGCCACACAGGGCACACTGGCAGCTCCCACACGAAAACCTTCCAGTTTGTGTTTGCACAATTTACAAATGCCTCTGCTGCGGCGGAAGCGCGCAGGGCGATTACTAAATAAAGCACACGGGTTGGCTTGGAAGGCAAAGGGGAGGCACCGTCGCCCGAGACTTTACCTTACCTTTGTCATGGTCGTGTCATCCTTTTTGGGAATAAAGTCTCCAAAAAAGCGGAGGCTATAGAAACCGACGACAGAGGACACCATCAGATAGCTGTGAGAATCAAGGAAAACACCTCCAAAGAATGTGAGCTGCCTTCAGTTCTCAGTAGTCTCCAAGTCTGAAGGCCCAAAGGAAACTCAAAACAAAACCAAAAGCCACTTGGAGTGCCTGGGGAAGAATGCCTTGTTTTTTCTCGGGGCAAGTGTCTTAGTAAATTACCACTGTCCCAGAAAACTGGACAGAAAACTTGTTAACAGACAGAGCTTCAGTGAAAGAAAGGATACAAAATCAAAATGATTTCAAGTGCCGCTCCCACAAAACCAAAAGCTGAGAGCGAGGCATTTCCTATCCCAGGCCCCTGGGGGGAAAAACACTTTTCAGAATTCAATGACACTATTATATTTGGTTTCCCTAAAATTGTTGTTTCACAAATATAGGACAGCTGAAATTAGGAACTTGGTCTAATAAAACTTGACATTAGGCAGAGTTCATCAACTAACTCAACCACATGTTAACAATTTTAACAGGCTCAAAATATTTCTGATTTATTTCAAATTTAAGTTTCTTATCAAAATAATATGAGCATTTTGTGAATTCTTCAATATGCTTGGAAGAAATCCTTTAAAAATATATCTGTTCGGACTACAGGGTGTGGACGAAAAGGGGCCACATGCTAACCTGACTAGCTCAGGGAAGGCCTGCGTGGAGGCCTTGCTAACTCAGGGACTTACAGTAACCAGAAAGGATGGCCTGAAATTAAAACTTTTTTAAATTAAAAAATTTATAGTGGGTAGTCATGTCCTAGGCCAGTATCTTCCCTGACAAAGATCAACTTTCATCTTTACCAAGCCTATTGTCTTTTTGCATCTATAATAACATACCTGTGGAATGTCAGGGTAACTTGTAACTTCCCTTTTTGGGGACCCCTTAGGGCACAACCAATGCACCAGGATGGAGACCAAAAATTCCCTCATTGTTATTGTTATCAGGTTAATTGCTGACTGTTAACCATCCTGTACCCACCTGTGCAAAAGAAGCATGTGTCTATCATTTTACTTTATGTGTTTTGGGACATCGCAGGGGTCAGCACATCCGGAGTGCAATGGATAAGCCTCGCCCGGGAAAACCAGCTTCCTGATCATGGTAGGTAAGTGTCTATCATTTTACTTTTTCCCCAATCCCAAAGGTTTCCCCCGCTTTGCTTTCTCCCACCTCCCTAATCACCAGTGGATTTCAGGTAACCCACTTACATCTCCTCCTTGAGGTAACCTGCAAAACTAGGTGAAAAACCACCATTCTCAGGAGCATTATCCAAATATGAGATTCTGCTTCCCAGCAATTGTCAACAGTTTGGCTCAAATAAACTCACAAAAACTCTTTAGAGGTCTGAATGTTTCTTACAATCCTTAATGGCCATTTCCCCCAACAGAAGACAAAGACCAGAAAAAAGATGCTAGACACCAGGAGTCAGACCATACAAGGAATTGAAATTGTCCTGAAGGCACCTGATCACACACATGCATTCCACCCGCATTCCAAGCCCACCGACTCAGCCCCCAAAACCACTGATGACAAGTGTCCTGCCAGTGACTATGTATAAGGATGACACTCAGCTCCTGGAGCTGCCATCATCACCCCAATGTCCCCTTGGCTCAGTGCTGTGCAGCCCTTTTCTTAAATAAATTCAATTTTCTTTTATCACTCTCAGAGGTAGCTATTTAGCCTTCCCGGACAGACCACCATGCTAACCTTCCATGCTAACCTTTCAATAACAGTACAATAGGGATAAAATATATAATTATCCGAACCCTGAGGCGACATATAAAAATTATACAATTAAAAAATGTCAAAAGTAAGCTAAGCACAGAAAGAAGGTGAATGTGCATACCCTGTTTCTAACCCTTAGAAATGTCCTTTCCCCAAATCTTCCTTGGAAACTTGGGAGTTTTAAAAGATATAACTTAATAAACCCAGATTTTAAAAAATGTAATGCTATAAATTTTTTCCTAAACATTGTACCTATTCTCAAAAACTATCTTTATCTAGGACTCAAAAAAACAAACAGAAAAGTAGTTTTGTCAATGAGACCAAACAGGAGAAAAATTATTTCTTAATGAAGTAGGAACAATATTTCCATAGCTTATTAATTAAAGGAACTATATGAATATGAATGACTTATTTACAATCAGCTTCTATTACATCTAAGAGAAATACCAGGATAAAATAAAATGTATTGTCACACTAAGAAAACAAAAACAAGAAATAATATTCTCTATACATTCTAACTTAGGCATAAGAAGCATACTGACTGCAATGGGACTCGGGCAGGCCGCCCCAAAATAGGCCACGGCGGCATGTTGATCATTTCAAATTAGTTGCTGGAGAGCCTGCCAGTACAAGAAGCACACTCTGGCCTCCTGTTCCCCTAACACAAGGAACAAAGCTCCCTGTGCCAGAGAGAGGGAGTTCAGGGCCGAGGTCGCTATAAAAACAAGCTTTGTTACTTCTTCAATTAAGTCCCTAACCCAAACACAAACTCTCTGTTTTGTGCAATCTTCATAAGTAACTGTTTCTTTGTCTAAGAATGGTATACATATTCCCTGCTTTGATCATTTCTTGAGATCTCATTCTATGGGGTCTCCTTATGTACTTATGTAATTAAATTTTATTTTCTCCTGTTTTTCTGTCTCTTTGTCAATTTAATTCTTAGACCAGACAAACGAACCTAGAAGGGTAGAAGAAAAAAATTTTCCTCCCCAACAACTGTGATAAAAAACATTTTGGAACTATTCCCTGTCTTCAGAGGCCTACACAGGTAGGATTAAGGTGACCTGATTTATTTACACAATCATGCAAGGAGCCTACCAGGTATAAGTCCCTCTCTACTATGACGTAAGATTTACTTAGTATATAGTATATAAGAATGGGTTAAAAAGTAGCTAGAAGTCAACACAGTAGGTGACTTCTTGCTCTTATCAGTGGGGTTGGGAGTAAACAAAAGATGAAGACCGGACTGTAGAAGAGGAGGCTGTCTGTTGCTGCTGCTTGTTAGTGGAATGAGGCACCTGGAGCCTGCTGGTAGCTCACTGTGGAGAGAGTGGCCGGGACAGACGGCACAAGGGACAATGGTGTGAGGGGGGATCTAAATCAAGAACTAGGGCTGAATGAATTAGCTTTGGGAAGAACAGGGTATCTTCATCATAGACCGAAGAGAAGGAATTAAGATAGACAATGGCTTTTCTCTATGAGAGAACAGGTGTATTAAAGAGAGAAGGGCATCAAAAGTCTAAAAGTTTTTAAGTCATTTCTATGGGGAATGGGAAAGTGGCTGACTTGGAAAAATATAATAAATGTCAAAACTTAAATGTTACTTTAAGTATGTAAAAGTTTAGAGACATCTAGAAAAAACTATGTCAACTATGAATATTTAGTGAACTACCTTCTTGATGAAAATATATTCAAATCAGCTAATTGACAGATTTTAATAAAATCATCAATCTTTTAACAAGAGAGAAAACTAAGTTAACTCATAAAAAGATATACCTCTTACTCTCGCCAGTAACTGAACATTTTGACTCAGTGTCATAAAGTGTAGACTCTCCTGAAGTGGGACTCCCATCAACCACACAGTTGCATCTCTCACAAACCCAATGAACCCATTTAATAAACTCTTCATATGTCACTATTTCAGAGTGTACATTTTTTTAAAAAAATCACAAGTAATGAATTTCAGTAAAACAAAGATAAACTCTGATATGAAGTCTATCTGATTTTTGATAAAAGGCCCGGCCAATCCAGATACCAGAAACAAAACCATCTATAATCTATATATATAAAAGCCTAAGCGACTGTCCGACTGGCCAACTGGTAGCTATGACGTGCACTGACCACCAGGGGGCAGACGCTCAACACAGGAGCTGCCAAGCTACCGTGACTTAGCAGCTGCGGTTCTCGGGTGATGAGCCCGATTCTGGGGTGTGTCACCCAAGAACCGCCCTCTCGCAATCCGGGACCCCTCGGGGGATGTCGGAGAGCTGGTTTCGGCCTGATCCCTGCAGGCCAAGCCGAGGGACCCCACTGGTGCACAAATCCGTGCACTGGGCCTCTAGTAAAAGCATAATATGCTAATTAGACCAGACGACCTTCCAGACAAAGCCAGGGCTGCAAGGGCCGAGGCAGCCACCGTGGCTGCGAGGGCTGAGCCCCTTGCAATAATTTCGTGCATCGGGCCTATAGTACTTTATAAATGCTATTTATGAAGGCCCCTTGCATAAAGAAATTCACACAACGTAAAGTATACGCATACAGAAAGGTGACTTTAACTGGCTTATCTGAAGCACTCAGGGTGTACATGCAGATACTCTTGCAAAAGAAAGACATGTTAAACATTCTACTTTACCCTCGTTCCCTTTGGCATTGCTGTTTCATCAACCAACAGGCAAAGGATATTACAAGCCACCAGGAGGACCGAGATGGACTACGACACAAAAAGTCAGTTGTCAGTTCTACATTTCAAAGACATTTTGCCAATACATATATATTAAAATCTAAGTGGCCAACCAACTGTATGCTTCAGAGGAGAGAAAAGTAGTCCAAACAAAAATTCTACATAAAACCCTAAAGTCATTAGACTGTCTACAAAACCCCAGAATAAATTCTAAAACATTCTATAAATTATTATAATTTCAAAACTTGTGACAAATGCTAATAACACAGATCCACTTATTCACTGATCTCACCAACTGGAAATCCAACCTCCCCCACCCCAAGTTACAAATAGTTATAATCCATCAGAACTGGCTCCCTGACGCCCGCCCACAGCCTCCCGTGAGTCTGACAGTGTTTCCAGCACCTCCTCTGCTCTGCATTTTCAATGAAACAAAGAATGAATTTCCTGCTTTCACGAAGAAATAGATAAGCTTGAGGACTTTTTAAAAATTACTATTCATTTCTATTTTGGTTCTATCAAGTTTTTGCACATAGAAGCATGGATGCATTTTAATCTTACTAATAGAAAACCAGTTTACCTGCACTTCGCTGAGGGAATTGCCATATTCAAACAGTAAAGTAAATATCAAATAATTTGCTTTATGCAACCAGGCAAATCAATTCCTACCGTCTCAATGAGAAGGAGAACCATGACCGCAGGATACACCAAATTTCTTTCCCAAGCCGACGCCTTCTTCCGCCTCTCTAGTAGGAGAAACAACACAACAGAAGATTTCAGAAATGGCCCAAAATCCTCTCCACATTCCCATTTTTATTCCTTACTACTATAATCAGAATGCATTATTTTTATATAATTTTTAAAAAACACAAATTATTTTACATTTTCCTCCACAAGCCATAAAAATCAGAGATTTAGAGTTAGTTTGCTACATTAAACAACTTAGTCCTGTGATGCTTAAATTTTAGCTCTTTAAAGACATTTCAATTGCTAATGAAATAAAATGTTAATTTATAGCTTACTCTGAAAATATAGAGATATTTGTATTTGATATGGGTTTACATATTGATACAGATTTGAATGACTAAAGTAACAGGAGTAAAAATCCCCTCTACTCTCACATCCCAAAGACATCACTCCCGTTGCTAGAGGCTGAGAGCAAACTTCCACTTTGGGCTGCAAGGGGCTCCCTCACGTCACACTGTCCCAGGCCATAAACACCTGGAGAAGGTGGATCAAACTCACTTTATTGTGTCAGAATCACCATGACAATCAATACTGAGGGGCCAGTGTCTGTGAAATGAAGGCACACTCCTTCCCCCACATTTTCCAGATGTAACTGCATGGACCCACAAGGCTGAGAAATAAGCAGAAATCAGTGGGTGAAAGAAAACCCACTTTCCTAAAGCAAAGCTTTCAGCAAACTCAGCAGAGCCAAGGAGACAAAAATTGAAGTTTGGGGCGACTGAGGCCGTCAGCACTTGAGAGGCTAGGATGACAGAGAAGAGGAGAGAGGAAGGAGAGCCAGATGCAGCCACTGCCCCTGCAAAGCTCAGCGCTGAGGAGGGGGACAGAGGGTGAAGCTCGGGGTAGAGAAGCCAAGCTGAGCTCCATCGGGCTTATGTTTCTTGAAAGGTAAAACAAGAGTTCAAGGTTCATGAAGAAGACAGCATGACAATCAACAACAAAACAACCAGGCTTTCAGGACCAAGGAGAAGCTATACTCTAGGAGCAATACCAAACTGGAAATAGACCCCCTAGTAAAGGCCAAAACCCAGTCTCCAACTATCTCAGATTAAAGGGATCTGTCCCTACTCTAACTGCCTGCCAGAAGCTAAAGGAAGTCCTTTCAAAAAGAAGAGACTATCACCATGTTTCTACAGTGACACATAAAAAGTGTCTAGCGTTTATTCAAATATTACCAGAAGGCAGAACAAAGGAAAAAAGAACAGAAACACTTTCAGCTGATCCAGATAGTGGGCTCATCAGGAAGTGGCCTTAAAGTAACCGAGTAACATGCTCCCTAAGACAAATGATGAGATGGCAAATGTCACAAATTGAATCTAGAAAAATAATCAAATGGAATTTCTAGAACTGAAAAATATTGTAATTAAAGATAAGAGTGTGATCATTTTGACGACAGTTACAACAGCTGAAAAGAAGTGAAGGAAGATCAGTAGAAAGACAAAGACAAAAGGAAATCTAGCAGCCCTACCCAAGGGCACTGAGACGACTCTGGATGGCATCTTTACAATGATGAAAATTACCCGATAAGAGTTCAAATTCCGTGTAAATGCCCCACAAATAAGAAAGCAAAGTAAAAATGTTTTCAGATAAAAACTGAGAGAATTTGTTGCCAGCAAACCAGCACTAAATGAAATACTTACAAATGTTTTTCAAGCAGAAGCTAAATGAACACTGGAAACACAAATCAGGGTCATGCAAACTGAACACCAAATCAGATGCCCTGAACTGGAACAAATGGAGAAGTCCAGCACCGTGGATTGTAGGCAAGGATGGGGGGCAGCAGGGAGCCTTACTGGTACCTCACAGGAATACAAAGTAACACAACTACCTGGGAAGGTTTGGGGTTATCTGAAAACGTTGTGCAGAAACACCCAGTGATCCTATAATTTCACTTGTACCAAGAGATATGTAGAAGAATGTCTATACCAATAGTATTCACATTAGCACAAGACTGGAAACATTTCAAACATCCATCAACAGCAGGATGAAGAAAGTAACCTGCAGCAATGTAATGATGTTTATGAAATGAAAATGATTGAACTGCATATATGATTTTCAACAACATAATATTCGACTTGCCCTTCTGAAGACAGAGTAACAACTGTCTTGGGGACCAGAGTTACTGTCCAGCCTGAAACAATTTAAAGACCAAAAAATACATGTATATGAAACAACAGTTTTCAAGCCTGGGACATCTGATCACTGAAGGGCAATGGCCTCTGAAAGATGGGGAACAAACCCTCAAGCCCTGTGTCTGCCCCAGCTCACTGTCTAGGGAGAGCTCCCAGGCGGGCCCTGGTGCAGGGAGGAGGAACCCAAGCAGAGCCCAGTTCAATCCCTGAGTTGAGGACATACAATGGGGTCTGGAGAGACCAAGTCAGCAGGATTTTGCAGAGCAAGTGCCAGAGAGGAGACTATTGCACAGAGAAAACCCCAAGGACTGGAGTAGGGTAATGATCAGCTCTGGTATGTGAAGAAAGCACCCACGGCTGATGAAAGCACCACCCCAAAATGAGTAAAAGGAACAGCATCCAACAATCACAAAGGGCCAAGAACCATGCTGCTCCCTCAAGATACTGGGACACTGGGTAGAATGCTTAGAAGGGTCTTGCGTCAGTAGCAGGGAACTACTACTAGTAGCCCTAGACCAGTGGTTCTCAACCTTCTGGCCCTTTAAAACAGTTCCTCATGTTGTGACCCCCAACCATAAAATTATTTTCGTTGCTACTTCATAACTGTAATGTTGCTACTGTTATGAATCGTAATGTAAATATCTGATATGCAGGATGGTCTTAGGCAACCCCTGTGAAAGGGTTGTTCGACCACCAAAGGGGTCGCGACCCACAGATTGAGAACCGCTGCCCTAGACGAAATGTCATTCTGGCCCAGCCTAACAAGTCTTCAAGGCAAGACCTGATAATATCAAACTGTTTATAAGTAACTTCACTGCATCCCAAAACAAAGTTCCTCACTTACAGGAATACAAAAACATTAGCACTGAACAATGTAAGATGCACAGTAGCTAGTACCCAAAGTTGCCATGCATGCAAATAGGCACAAAAATACAGTAAGTCAATCAATTGAAACTCTTCTAGAATAAACATAGATGTTAGAATTAGCAGACAAAAACATTACAAGTGTTATTAAAACTGTATTCCATATTTTCAAAAAGATGGGTATCAAATTAAAGATGCTAATTAGACATATGGAAGATATAAAACAGGCCTAAACAGAACTTCAAGAGATAAAAATTGCAGTGTCTGAGAAATAAATACAATAGGTGGGATTAAAGGCAGACTAACACTCAGAGGAAAAAAATTAGTAAACATGAAGACATAGCAATACAAACTATCTGAAATGAAACACACAGAGGAAAAACAAACCACATGAAAAGGGAACATCCTTGAGTCATGGGGCAACTTTATAAGAGCTATTGTACATGAAATTGGAGTCCTTGGAAAGGGAGGCACAGATAGAAGAAGAAAAAACTACTTGGAAAAGTAATGGCAAAAAGTTTCCACATGAGATGACAATTACAATTTCCCAGGTCAAAAAAAATCAATGAACCCAAAGGATAAGAAACATAAATAAAATTACTCAAAGGCACATCACAATAAAATTGTTCTAAATCAATGATAAAGAGGAGATCTGAAAAGAAGATAAAGACACAATAAAAGATAAAGATGACAGATGATTACTTGTCAGGAATAATGCAAGTGAAAAGACAATAGAACGACACCTTTAAACATCAGTCCAAATGGCTTGGACAGATTAAAAGCTTGTAACATAAACTAAAGATTTAATGCGTTTTTTAATATTTCAGACTACAGGAAAGACTTTAATAAGAAATCAAGTCAAGGGGGAAAATGTACCTAATTTTGTCTTAAAAATCTTTACATTTTCAAGTTCTTGTTCCAGCTCCATTACATTGTAGTCCACTGATGAAGACAGTCCTGTGGAAAGCAAACATAGTTTAGAAGTAAAACAACAGAACACCTAGGAGTATAGAACAGGTGGCCCTCACATTCCATTAAAATATAAAAATAACACATTGTAAATGCTGATTATAGAGAATGAAAACAAATGCTGCTGTGATTCACAGAAAAGTACATCCATTTTTTAACCACTTAAAACGTCCAAATTCTTACTGATGAAACACTACATGTTTCCTAGAAAATGTATTACTTTGGTAAAATTCTTAATGGATCTATTATTAATTTTTATTAATTATAAAAGTATCATATGCTTATTATAAAGTCAAAGAAAATCAAGATCTCTTCTCCATCCCACCTTCCTACAGTGACAACAGTTGACCGTGTGGCTGATGCGTCCACGCCTTTCTTCATATTCAGGTGCGTATTCACACATTCACATTTATCTTGCATGGGGTTTATAAGAATGGGTTGAATCAGATGCATTATTTTTCCACTTGCTTTCCTAGTCAATGATGTGTCCACATTGAGAGTGACAAGTCCTTAACAGCTGAACACATAACATTCCAGAGTGTGGACATCCTTCAGCTTTATTCAAGATTATTCCACTTATGAACAGTCAAGTTCCTCCAATGGGATGCATACAAACAATGCTGCAGTACACACGTCTACAGGCACACCTGGGTCATTCTGGTCTGTTATTTCTGTAGCGCAGATTCCCAAAACACACTCTGCTGAGTCAAAGGGTGTGAGCACTGACATATAGGAGATATTTAACACGTTAAGCGCCAGCCTGTTTTGCCTTCTGGACAAAAAGTATAGTGTCAGTCACCGGTGACTGACTGGGCGTTTAACGTGTTAAAGGTTACTTCCCCCAAAATATTATAATCCTATATAATAAAAGCCTAATATGCAAATTGTCCCCTCGACCAGAGTTTCGCTGGGAGTTCGACCCCTCGACCAGTCGCTATGATGCGCACTGACCATCAGTGGGCAGATGCTCCAACCAATAGGCTAGCTTGCTGCGGGCGCTGGTGGGCTGGATTGGAAAGTGAGGTGTGAGGTGAGAGCCATCAGGAAGCTCCCAGGGTTTGGCCCGAGCCCTGGGCAGAGGCAGGCAGGAGCCAGGAGGGGCTGGTTGGCGCGGGAGGCTGCTACACATGATCTGAGAGGCCTGATCCGAGAGCTGTGGACTGCACAGCCCTTCGCAGCCTGTGGCATTCTCAGTATGCAATTTATAATCTTCAGAGCTGCTTCTTTTTATTAAGTTTCACTAACTACTGCAAGAGAGTGGGTAGCACCATTGGGGGGGGGGGGCGGGGGCGGGGAGGGGACAGGCCAGGTGCACCTGCCCGAGGCGAAGGGGCAGCCTCGGGCTCCCGGGGACTCAGCAGAGAGGGGGGCGGGGCTGAGTCGGAGAAACCGAGTCCAAAACTTGAAAGGAAGTGGGAGGCAGTGAGGGGGGAGGGTGACAGCTGCAAAGGAGCCTAAAAAAGCTGCTGGGTGAGGGTAGCCGAGGAGCCCGGTGCCTCTCCCACAGGACAGGCTCCACATCCCTCCCTCCTCCTCCCTGTGACCCGTCACCCCAGCTCTCCTCCAAGGTCCCGCCTGGGCTAGCCCCGCACAATTCTGCACACAGCCCCGCCCCACACAGCCCTGCCCCGCACTGCCTTTGGGGAGCTCTGCCCCCAGAGGAGAAAGGGGGAGGCTGCAGAAAGGAGGTTGAAGGAGGAGGGGCAGAGCAGGGCCCACCAAGTTAGATGGAGGGGAGGGAAGGAGAGACCCCACAGGACTGGGGACAGAGATGGGCGGGGAAGGAGGGCCGTGTGGAAATGTCACCCTTGGTTGAAGCAGAAATCCTGACCCTTTTACAGACCCCAGCAGAACGTGTGGGGGGGGGGGGGGACAGCAAAGACAAAAGAGGGGTGAGGGGACTGGATGGAGAGCAGCAACGTTTGATTCATGGCCTATTTATTATTTTTGTTAATACATTTTTATTGATTTCAGAGAGAAAGGCAGAGGGAGAGATAGAAACATCAATGATGAGAGAGAATTGATCTGCTGCCTCCCGCACGCCCCCTACTGGGGATTGAGCCCACAACCCAGGAATGTGCCCTTGACCGGAATCAAACCCAGGACCCTTCTGTCTGCAGGCCGTGGCTCTATCCACTGAGCCAAACCATCTAGGGTGACCCATGACCTATTTAAAACTGCTGCAGTAGGCTGAGCAAGGGTCTTACCATGATGGTGTTATCTGATAATGAGGGTGTCTCCTTATGTTGGGTAATCGGAACTGAAGAGAAGTAAAGACACACCCATGGAGCCTGCAAAGGGTTTCCACACACATGATGCAACTTACTTCATGTGACAGCTGAAGAGGCTGAGCAGAGCCTTGGAAGGACATGAGGTCTCTAAGACCAGGGAAAGTGCGTGCTGAGCATTCCATGCTGTGAGTTACAATCTATATATATAAAAGCCTAATATGCTAAGTGTCCGACCCAGCGGTCCACCGACTAGTAGCTATGATGTGCACTGACCACCAGGGGGCAGATGCTCCAACCGGTAGGTAAACTTGCTGCTGGGGTCCAGCAGATCGGGACTGGGTGAGATGGGGCCAGACACGGCCTGGAGCCCTCCTGCGGTCCCTCTACGGTCCCTCCCCAGCCACCGGCCCCGATCGGCCCCAATCAGGACTGGGTGAGACAGTACTGATCGGCCCCAACCCCCAACCTCTGGCCAGGCAGAGGGACCCCACCCATGCACGAATTTCATGTACTGGGCCTCTAGTTTATTATAATAGCCTATATTGTCACAATAATTTACATTTCTACCAAGAGCTTTTGAAAGTACCTATTTTCCATACTCTTCCCTGGCCTGGATGTTATAACTCTTGAAGTTTTGCCCATCTGATTTGTCACCACGCTTCCTTATGGTTACTTTAACTTGCATTTCCGTAAAGGTGGTCAGTCACCTTTTCATGTTTATCCAACACCTGGGCTCTCCCTGGTCGTGTTTCCTGCTGGTTTCTCTGAAGGTCTATCTAGCTCCATATTCTTTCTCTCGTATCTGCTGAGCTCTGGCACAGACAACTGAAGTCCCTACGACAGCTGTCCTTGGGAGAGGCTCCCTCCCGGTTTTGGATTTTTATTATGTGTTTGTATTTGTCTAAGTTTTTCTGCGTGTGTGTTTTTGGTTCCTATAGGACTGTTACATCTTCCTTATGCATCACTCCTTTTGTTAGCACATAATGACCCTCTTTGATTTAATGCTTTCCAACTTAAATTGTTTTGTGGACTTTAAGTTCCCCTTTCTTCTTGCTTTTACCTGCCTTACTTACATATAAGAAACGAGAAGGAAAGAGAGAGAGTAAAGATACATACTTTGAGGGTGAGCTTCTATCCGTTAGCAGTCACTGTCATAAGCCACTGCAATGGACTGACTGCTTAGGACAGAAAAGGGGCCCATGGAGACAGACCAGCCTGGGGAGAGGTCGTTTGTCTTTCCCGCTGCCTGTACCCTGCACACCTCATCAGGTCAGACAGGCCTCAAGGAAACCGCTGGGAGGCCCCACAATGTCTGTCCTTGGGGACGGGATGGACAGACAGAAGCAGGACTCAGGAGGAAGGAGCCTAGAGTGCTATGGGGTCTCTGGGGGTGCAAGCAGCACTCCTTTCTCCCCTGCCCCCCACACAGGCATGGGGTGGGCGTGCACTAGGAGACTCAGGGGCCTCTTTCCTGAGCCCTCAGTCCTGCCTCGGTTCCTAGGAGATGAGAACTGTCCCTCCATCCCTCACTGGAGACAGACCCAACACCCTCTCGCTCGGGGCACTGAGGTCTCCAATGCCCTGGATGATACACAGTGTCCCCAGAACTCATGAGTTTAATCATTTTACTCTTGGTATACAATTATAAGAGAATGGGGATGAAGAGAGTACAGAGATATTCAAGTAGTATGTCCCAAAACTACTCAATTTTAACTACGAAATTCAGAGTTTCTGGTAGCCAAAGCAAAAAGGGAAGGAATTAAGTTACGAAGTAATGGATATTTCCATTTAACAGGAGATCTACAGGAAGGGGGCAGAGCAGTGTACCATTTTCAAGTGTCTTTGAATAGTCTTAGAGATAAGTACATTTTACTTTTTATAGGGTGATGCTCATTTAACTTCTATATGTGATTAATTACCAATACAATTCCAAATACATCCCATTCCCTCTGCCTGTACAGAAGTGCTCTTCCAGAAACCAGCCCAGGACTACAAAAATCATCCGACGAGCATCCCGAATTCTGAAAGGAGGCAGCTGTCAGAACAGACTGGGCTGCTGCTGCCACTTTAAAATTAAGAAGCGAGACACTATTTGGCGGGCATGGTGTCTACAAACCTCAATACAAATACCTAGACCAACCAGTGTGCTATTTTTCCAAGTAAAATAATGAAAGTGGTATTCTGAAATGCTGTAGTTTTTTAGGGTAACACATACGAGGTACACAGTAGGCAGTTAATAAATACTGATTTGCACACAAAGATCAAGAAGACATTCTAACCGTCCTCAGAAAAATGGTGCTTTCATGAAATGACTAGCTTCATCTGGAATAACAGATTTCAAAGCCACCCCCGCCCTTTACTGTACACATCGCCATGCCCGTGAGAACAGCCACCTTTTGTCTGGGCAGAATGCTCCACTGTAAGTGACCAGAGGACATGATGGCTGCTGGGAGGAACCATGACAACTGCAAACAAACCCTGGAATGTCACACACACGTAAGTTGCACCAACGAAATCACCACGATATCTGCAGAATTATATCATCACCACTTTATTTCAAAATGCTTCTGAACGTTCACCGTCAGCACTGTCTAGTCCATAAGTCAAACTGGTAGACAAAGCCTGTTTGGGCTAGTCAGGAAAAATAAAAAGGGATTCTCCAAGACAACCACAAGGCAGCTCATTTAAGGTCAATTTAACGGTATTATTCTGTTTTCCTTCCAGCCTCGACACAAGACTCCCCTACCTCAAAGGAAC